ATGAAAAAAACAAAAAAAAGAAAAAAAAGCAAAGAAATAAAAAGTGATTAAATTTGTATTGATTAAAAAAAAAAAAAAATAAGAAAAGAAAAACAAAAACAAAACAAAAAAAGATATCGATCACACGACGAAAAGAAAATTAATTAAAACGAATATAAAAAGGATTAATGCTAGGATGATTATCGAAGGATAATAAAAAAAAGAAAAAAAAGAAAAACAACAAACGGGACGGATATTAAACTTGTCGCAAATAATCTATCTCCACGATAATACCTATGCTCGATCGCTAACTACTGGAATAAATTTTAATAAAAAACGTGTCACGGTTAGAGATAGGATTGCGAAACGCACGTGACCATCCTTTTCCATCTCCCGAATTCAATCTCTTCGATAGCGAGGCGGATTGAAATGACGAGAAGAAAAGAGAATAATACGATACTAGCTTGAATGTCGTGAAATTTGAAATTCTAATCAACGTGATAAAATAACCATGACCATGTGTAATATTGTTTCAATTTATATGAACTGGCACGTACAATAAAATCCATCCTCGGAGATTTGAAATCTCACTTCTTTATAAAGAGAATTACAATATATTACATATGTGTACCTACATTGACACGTAAAGAGATAAAAAGAAAAAAAGAAAAAAAAAAAAGAGAGAAAAAGAGTTTTGCTCTTGTGAACAAATTAACTTGTTAAACTTTCATCCAACGTTCGCGTACACGAGCCTAAAAAAGAAAAAATATACGCACACAAAAAAAAAAACAAAAAAACTTCAAGATAAATTTGCTTAATGGATAAAAAAAAAAAGTAGCATTCGCGTTTATTTCACGTATGTAAATTTCGAACTATAGATTTACCCACTACATCCTTTCTTAGTCGATGTAAGGAAATACGTTGTAGAGAACCTTTTAGGTGTTCATTTGCACGTACGACACGTAGTTCCTTTCCCTCAGGACTAACCAAATGCTCAAAGAAGATGCAAAGGAAAGCTTTTCAAAATATATACACACGAATTCAACGTATTTACCAAATAAACCACCAAGTTACAGCAATTTTATCTTACGTTGCTTACAAATTTACGGTTAGAAGGGAAACGTAATAATAAATATTTTCATCATTCGACCGAATAGGTGGGGTAAATAATTCGTCAATAATTCAAAATTGGAGATAAACCAGAATTCAATTTTTTTCTTTTTGTTTTCTATTTCTATTTTGTCTCTCTAACAGATTTCGATTGAAACCCGACGATTCGAATCCGCGCAACGAATTTATTTTGTATACCTTCGAGCATTTAATCGCATCCGATATTTTTTTTTTTTTTATTATTTCTACTCGATATTCAACTAACCAAAAGTTTCGCTAATTCAACCGTGATAATATAATATTTCCGAAATAAAATTATTATGGAATAATAAAAGAATATTATATTTTTAAATTAGCATCGTTTCATTATTATTTCTGTCATTTCCACATTGAACAAATAAAAAAATATATTTATTTGCTATAGTCATTTTTATTTTCTAAATATTTTGAAAAACCTGCCAATAACCCCAATAACCCGCGTAATTTTATTCTTATTATCCCTATAAAAACTGTAACTCGACAGGGTTGGTAGTTTAATTAATCATGATAAAGAGAGAGAGAGAGAGAGAGACAAAATGACTACGCTTTTATGACTACGTGATAACAAGATAAAAATAAAAAAAAAGTTTCAAGATCTCTTAAGGATTTTCCCCTTAAGAAATGAGAGGTATCGGACAAGAATATAAAGGTTTCGAAGAAAGCATCGCGAATTTAATTTTGGATCGTAATTCTTGACGGCTGGAATAAGGTTTCTCTCACCATTTTAAATGAAACTTGTTGAAACACTTTTTACCGAACGAAAGTAAAGCAGAGAAATTCGCAATTTCGAAAGTGCTAAGCAGCGAAAGTGTTTTATTATAAAAGAAGAAGAAGAGGAAGAAAAAGAAGGAAAAGAAAAAGGAGAAAAGAACGGAGTAGTTTGCGAATGAGTCGAAATTGAACGAGTCTAATGAATATAAAATTAAATAAAACACCGATTCTATCTAAAAAGAATGAGATAGAACGGAGAGAACAAAATAAAACGAAGTACGCGCGAAAAATCATTACAAACAGAAAATAATTGATTTATCGTTAATATTTTTTGTCCAAACGCGAAGAAAATGATTTTTTTCTAGAAGACTAAAGTCTTAATCACTTCTGAAATTATTTATAGTTTACCGAACAATGCCATAACTTATTTGATCTAAATACCGTTCATTGTTACTCTTTATCGTTATTAACTCTCTCACCATTGGATTAAATTATTATCTAACGGATTGAACTGTATAAACGAACGAGGATTGTCCTATGTCTCTTTCTATCTCTCCTAATCTTCTAAAATCTATTCTAATATCACGTAGGATATTGAATAAAGCGATTAATCTACATTGTTACCTATCTCTGTCTAGTTTCTCATAGATATTAGATACAACCTGTCTTCTTATTTAATTGAACAAATCTAAAACGTAAATTACTACTGCTCGATAAATGATATGAATCTAAGGATACATTTAATGAAAATGAGTGCCGTTGGTATTTTTCAATCTACAAGAGAATAGAATTGGAAATGAAAGAAAAGAAAAGGAAAAAACCAAAAAGATCAATTTTGTGTTTAAAGCTTAAATGACACAATTTCTTTAATGACATACACGCACCGATCCATTCCCAACACTACGAAATACACCGGTGCAATCAGCGTACAATTGATTAAGTTTCCCTGCAAAAATTTTCTCTAAAACGAACGAATCAAATCTTAAAAGAGATCTCTTTCGATAGGAAAGAAAAGAGCATTGTTAATTAAATAGAAAAAAGTTAAACGAGTTCTATCGAGAATAATTGTATTTTAAAATTAACTGCACTCTTATATACCGCGGCAGGAGTAGAAAAAGAGATTTTCTCCTTTTCATTTCCTTTTCTTTTTTTTTTTCTTCTTTGTTAGAAATTATTTTAAATGAAATCACGTTCCAAATTTGTTCAAATTATTTTTATAGTCTACTCATTTAAATAACACGTCTCTTTTGTATTCTCATGAATTTAAATCATATTTAATCCTTATGTAAATATTCTTCCTCGTCTTATTCCGCTACTCCTGGGAATGTGTATAGCAATAAAGTAATTCAAAGGATAAAGTTTAAGAAAGAGTTTGTCTACACAACAAACCTCGTTCCAGTTGCACTCACAGAGTTAAGTTGAATAGAATATATATAAACGATTATTATTATCTCACGACATATCCATATATTTTTTCTATGTACCTACGTATTTATCTAGATGCATATAAAAGTTTATACGTGGTCGAGCTGAGAAACTTCATTAATTAAATAATCCTTAATAATCGAGATCGCTATAAGAGATACTTCGCTCGCAACGATCCTGTATTTTATTGGTAAAACATTCATGAACAATCGAGTTTCAATAAAACATTAAAACGAGTTTAAAAAAAAATAT